TGCCAAAATGCTTTCGGGTGCCATTTGTAATGAAGTGGCTCCATGAATGAGGCTATACATATCTCACAGGAGAATACTACCGGTATAGACTGTCCCATCCCATCCCCATTTCTAGACAGCTGTCCTTTTCAGGCCCTCTGTTGGGCACCACTGACAAGGGCGGTAAAAACAAAAACTAATGAAAATGTGCTATAACAGAAATTTTGCCTGGAAAGCGGCCTTTCCACATATTGTCATTGCCAAGGGTTCTTTTTAAGTGCACATAAAACAGTAAAGAGGTCTTGTATTTGCCCATGAGCCAAGGAACTTGAATTTAAACACGCTAATTCATAATTACCTACGAACCAGTAACTGAACTAGCCTATTGTAATATGGTAAATTAAATTTTGATTTACCTTTTTTGTGTACTAGTCTAACAAATGATATGGGTGCAGAGGGTATACATGAAATGCCACAAAAAACTCTGTGCAGTCCCCATTCACATTCTTCTTACTAATCCAGGCTGTGACTACAGCAACCTGAAAGTGGTCCAATACATAGCCATATTTATGTGGTTTTGCAACCAAAATCCAACCTGAGAGCCAAAACTAAGAAATGTCATACATAAAGCAAAGTGACAAATCAATTGTCTATATAACCACTGTTTATTATCGCTACACTGATATTAAATGTCATAATCCTGGTGCACACTATATCATAACACAGGTGCAGATTTTGGTCGCCAATGAGGAAAAATGAAAAAAAAATCGCCTAATGTAAATTTTATTTTGCTAAATTATCGTAAGAAAAGAAACATGTCGAAGGTAGGCCTAGTGAGTTTGGTTGGTTATTAACTTGTTTGGTGCTAATTATATTTAAGATACTCTATTTTTTTGGGTATAAATCGATACTTTTTTACGCCGATGTTCGGCCTTCGTCTTATACTCCGCTTCAACGGATGAAGATAAAAAAAAAAAGACATCTACCCCAAAAACATTTCCAGTTACCGTCTCTTCACGATGCCGGACGCACTATCATCTCAAATAAAACTACATGTACTTTAAGTTATACCACTCCAATCGAAATATTTGTAGATGTTTCTTTGCTTGTTTATTTCTTTATTTAAAAACATCCCCTCTCCCCCTTCAAATATTATCAACCCGAGAATATGCCATCAAAATAAAATCTTTCTCAGACATTCATCAAAAATGGCACGTTTCCGTTTCTCAGAATTTCAAGCGTCTCGCGAGATGTCTACTTTAAGTTTTCAGTAAAATTAACCAATCATACTATACTGCATTGTTTTATTTTATTTTTAGTAACATATTTTATAAACACGTGTGATTATAAATACGGAGTCTGCATTATCGTAAGAGAGAGAGAGATTGGGTTAAACGTCCACTCGACACAAACTAGGTCATTTCGAGACTAACATATGGTTTAATTTTATTTCAATAATTCGCTTGCGCGTAGGGGTATTTAGCAGTGGGAGGAAACCGGAGCACCCGGAGAAAACCCACGAGGTTGGACAGGCGACCCTACTCCTTGTTACGTACAACCGGGGATTCGAAACCACGCCAGTTGACTCAATTACAGACTTTATGGTACAGCGCGCACGTGCTAACCATTCAGCCATCCAACCCCCCTGCATTGTCTTAAAGTTATCGGATACATTGGAATAAAATCAATTGAATCAAGACCACAACTTGGAATATTAAACATTTATAAACTGATTGTTGTATCGTAGACCTAATTAATATTATGAGCCAATTTTTGGGGGGTACACCGGCACAGTATTATATTACACTAGGAGTAGAATAACAGTCCCCGTAACTTAATAATAGAGAGAGAGAGAAACGGGGTTTAACGTCCACTCGACACAAACTAGGTCATTTCAGGACTAACATATGGTTTAATTTTATTTCAATAATTCGTTTGCGCGTAGGGGTCTTTAGCAGTGGGAGGAAACCGGAGGACCCGGAGAAAACCCACGAGGCTAACCATTCGCCCCCCCCCCCTTAATAATAGATTGCTGCCGTGGAGTTGACAAACATTGGTCAAATGTACCGCTTCCACTTATATACGGAAGGCCTGACAAGGTCAGCGGTCTAGTCGTTCAGATGGGACGAAAAACCGAGGTCCCGTGTACAGATTGGGTTGCACGTAAAAGATCCGTTGGCAGTTGGAATTCGATATAAGAGTAGGCCGTAGCGCCGCTGCCCAGGCAAAATTTCCCTCATAGCACACTGTATGGTGTACACTGGAATATTTCTCTGCTTGGCCTCATGTAGTCTGGCACCAACTAGAAGTTAATATAATTTACAAAGTATTACCTATTTTTTTTTAAAAATCTCATTGCCCAGTCCGAATGTCAATTTATGGGCAGCGTATACGTCTATACCTACCATGAATGTGGATAGTTTATAATCAATTTAATAAATTGACTAACTTGCCCAATAAACAAATATAAATTATCATACTGCAGCATGAATTTTAATGATTTAGAGGCCTACATATTTTTGTAAGTGTATTTTGCATTACGATTAATAAAACAAAATATATTATCTAGTCAAAGCTTATAATATTTTATAATCTTTTTTTTTTTTTAGTCTTAATACCCGGTACTCCAAATTCCCCATGTTTCAATGTTTTTGGGTTTTTTTTTTTTTAAATAAAAGCAAAGATCAGCTATATTTGGCGAAATACGGTGCTTTTAACTATTATTTGCGGTCCATAATTCAAACATGTACACATGTACATATGTCTTACATGTACGTGCCTTTGGGTCCAAATTTACATAAATTTAGATATTATTTTCTTGTCTTGTATGTATGTACAGTTTGTTCTGTGTAGAACAAACGTTTTTTACCACTTAAAATATATTTAATTTAGTCCTTATATTAGTTATAACAGCCTTCACAAGGTACAGTGACCAGTTTTCCAGTGGAACGAATGTTGTCCTTTGACCTATATAAAGATTCGGAAAAGTATAAAAAATGCCGATAAACTTGAAGTAGGGACCTATTCGCAATGTAATAGTAATTACTATACATATGATATTACGTAGTTATAGTCTAAGTATAACATCTTCTAGTGTATACAGTCCATAGTCGGATATTATCCATTATCACAATATCAAAAACGCATTATAGTACCATTTTGGATGGTGAACCACGCGATAAAGGGTCAGGAGGTCATGGTCAAGATAAATAAGTCAATACAAATAGATTACTGGTGATTTCGCCAACATCGATATATTATGTTATTTTTGTTGACCGATTTAAATGTTAGCGGGTCTACGTGTGTTGTCTATTTGAGTTATTGTCGAGATTGATTGAACTCAATCATTATTAAACTAATTTTCATTGGTTTATTTGTACTCAACTTTCACAACTCTTGATCCAGAAACGGGGTATGCTGGGAATGTTATTTTAGCAATATGGCGCGCATGTTGAATATAATTCGCGGATTTGAGGAAAATTTACAATTTACAGCTACTTGGATTACTTAGATTACTTGGATTACATAGTGAGAGCAAGATATATTATACCAGTTATAGTTGAGCGAGTTAGATTTGGAGGTAAGTTACTTTTTATATAGATTACAGATCTAGATAGGCTACAAATTCAGCGATGTGAAATTATCAAAACATCGTTCTACCCAAACTAGCTAGTGGATCGATGTTCTAAGACAATTTTTAAGTCATTATTTTCAGTTGCTTTCATTATTATTTTTAATTAATTAATGTCAAAGGAGTCATTTGTCACGACATCTGACACAAATTTATAACAACCCAACACTATTTTCAAGTAGAATTTGTGATTCGTAAACATAAACATTATAGATTTTGTATTTATATATTATATAATTGGCAGAAATAATTGCCCAAATATTAGAATTTCAAAACCGTTTAAATTTTAGAATCAGGCTTATACTTTTTTTAAAACTTTTTTTAATTTGGATTTTTATTAATTTTGATTCGGTCCGAAATCGAAATCTGGTCTAAAAAGTGGTAATTTGTTTTCCAATGAATTAACATGAAACATGGTAGAATAACAGTTTAGGTGGGTGCAGACTGTTTCGTAACCTGGCTGTTTCGCTCTTAGTTCATAGTTCATTCAGACCTCACCATGAGTACCATGACTGCTATATCCCTACATGTACATGTATACCCATATATTACACAATGTCTTGCACGAGACCATTAAACTCTTCAACGCGTGCATTACATTTACAATGAAATACGTCACAAGGGTCCAATTTTTAAACTAGTATAAATAATGTACGAATGGCACATTGCACGTACTATTATTTGAAATAATGGTACCCAGCATCAAAAGATGCCATCACCTCTGTATTATAGATCTGATGTTACAATTCTTAATTTTAAGCAATTACATTTATACTTGTATTATTTTACAGCTAAAATGTACGCAATTGTTGAATTCCTTGATGATCAAGAATTTGCGGTTGTAAATGCTGACTGGGTGTTGCCAAGTGGATTCTGTTTTTGGCCACCATTTAAGAATGCCAGTATTATAGACTTGATGTTACAATTTTTAATTTTAAGCAATTACATTTATACTTGTATTATTTTACAGCTAAAATGTACGCAATTGTTGAATTCCTTGATGATCAAGAAGTTGCGGTTGTAAATGCTGACTGGGTGTTGCCAAGTGGATTCTGTTTTTGGCCACCATTTAAGAATGCCAGTAAATTGAAGAAGTGTGTCATCAACTGTGTGAAAGCAGATGAAAGTTGGCCGAAACTTAAAGTTCGCAAATTCTCAGAGACCAGTAAGTCTTTATGGCGCAGTATTAGCATGTATTTTTCCTTGGATCAGTGCTGTTAATGTCAAAAGTAAACCAAAGATAATGTTATAATTTAGTATGAATTATTGACTTGACTTCGTAAAAATCAGAATACATCATCAAAGTAAATTCTTCTTTAAAAAAATTTGTCTGGTAACAATGTTCAATTTGTATAGCATTTTATATATTACATATTTATTGTAGGTGACGACTACAACAAAGCAAGAGAAAGAGTGGCAAGGGCAGAAGAAACCTCGCAAGTTGAATCAGATGTGGAAGAGATCCAGCCGAGGAAAAGAAGGTATATTTTAAAATATTATTTATGTGATGCTTGAGGCATATTACTTCAGGATTGTAAATGTTGAAGTTTTGTTGATGAAAAATTATGACATTTATTATGAACCATTTGAGACTATTCATGGATAAACATATTTCAGTTTATGCAGTGGACTGAGCTAGAAGATTTCATTGTTTACAATTTATTAAATTTATTATTTCAGGCAACCTATTCGGTTCATTGAATCCTCCAGTGATTCTGAAGATGAGCATCAAAAACATCCATCACCACCAAAAATAAACACTTCCAGATTAAGTAAGACATTAATGTGCCTAATAAGTAAAAATGCTAGTGAATGCTCTAAATGAAGCAGTTTGGATGAATTTTTAGTTTTTTTAAAAAAGAAATAACTAATGCTTATAAAACAGTTTTATTGTTTCTTGCATTGTATAGGCATGATCTCGCCAGTGACACCATCTACACCTCAGCGGTCAGTAGAGCAAATTGGACGACAATTTACAACAGGTAATATCACACTTCTATATTGATCAATAATGAAACGGAAAGCTAATATTATTACAGAGAGAGAGAGAGAGATAGGGTTTAACGTCCACTCGACACAAACTAGGCCATTTCGGGACTAACACATGGTTCAATTTTATTTCAATTATTCGCTTGCGCGTAGGGGTCTTTAGCAGTGGCCGTCTTCATTAGCCCAGCATAGAAGCAGAACAGTAGGACGTTAAACTTCATTTCATTTCCTTAGCAGTGGGAGGAAACCGGAGGACCCGGAGAAAACCCACGAGGTTGGACAGGCGACCCTACTCCTTGCCACGTAAGGAAATATTATTACAAACTTCAATAGCCATAACATACAGATTTAGTGAAAGATACATAATTGAAAATTTCAGTCAAATTGTTCCACTCTGAACCGATATATTAGCTTTTGAATTTTAAGCCTAGCCTCGATCATCATTACTACAAGTTGATATGGTAACAAAAACATAGTCTTGTTTATCCATATTTGGATTTAATCATCAATGAGCGTTGATCAGCAGATTGGATTCAATTTCAGTGAAAATCTGACACATAAGATGACATCGAGAGTTGTGGTTTGGTTTGGATAAGTTAATTATATAAAAGAGTAGACTGCAGCATTAGCCCATTTCCTTTTTTTGCATACATAATTATATATTCATGGTGTGAATACTATTGAATTTCAGGTGCTGGCCTAATTAGCTCCATCCCATTAGCAGCCCCTGGACAACCAATAGCACTCAAACCAGTAGTCCCAGGTAAGAGAAGTGTTGAAATGACAATTTTTGTTTGGGTGAAATGGTTAATATGGCTCGCAGAGGCTCAGTTAGTAAGGTACTTGCTCAATAACCAGGTGTAGGATTTGTTCTAGTGTTAGCCGAGAGTTCCTAGGGATTTTCACGGGTGGTGCCTGGCATGCAAAAGTTGGTATTTGGAATAATATACTCAGCCAAATTAAAAACTTGACACTGAATTTCAACAATATTTTTTTTCAGGTAAGTCAAATAAATTTTAAAGTGTTTCTAACGATAGTTAGTAGTAAGAAGCCTTTAATTTCATAAAATTGTAAAGTCAAGTGGATCACGTGACTTTTTTGAGCATAAAAAGATGAAAAACCTGAAAAACACGTACAAACTCGTGAGGTCAATCGATGCAAGTTTGCTTAAACTGAACACGCACACGTAACTTGAACTAGAAAAACAAATTAAAATTGTTATTTTCATCTTTGTTAGAAAATGCCGCGCCTTTCAAATGTAGAACGTCTACGTGCTATAGGTAGGCTCTATGCTGGTCAGTCTGTGGTCACTGTTGCAAGAGCCTTTAATTGTTCACGCCAGACAATAATTAATCTTAGAATGAGAGTGCTTCAAACTGGAACTATTGCCGACGTGTGACGTCACTCCAGGAAGATCAAGCAATACGATTACGTCATCTTAGAAACAGATTTGTCACTGCAACCTCCACAAGTAGAGAGATGTTTGGTGGAAGGGTAACTGCACAAACAAAATCGCTTGCAGGCTGCTGGTCTTCGAGCTCGGAGGCCCTATAATGGACCAATATTGACACCTCTTCATCGCCGTAACCGACTTGTATGGGCCACAAGACACATAAGATTTACTCAAAGACAGTGGAATTCGGTTGTCTTTAGTGTCGAATCTCGATTCACTTTGAGATTTGCCGATGGCAGGGTCCGAGTGTACCGCAGACGAGATATGCGTCAGAGAAGTTAACCGATTTGGTTGCGACAGCGTCATGGTTTGGGGTTCTTTTTGTGCACATGGACGTTCTCCTCTTGTTGTTGTCCAAGGGAACTTAAATGCTGTCCAGTACAGGGATCAGATTTTGCAACCTGTTCTTCTTCCGTTTATGCAGAGACATGGGCCTGGACTAACGTTTCAACAAGACAATGCTCGACCCCATACAGCAATTGCTACCCAGAATTTTTTAAGAAATGCCGGTGTTCAAGTCCTGGATTGGCCGTCGCTTAGCCCCGACCTTAATCGACGTGTTCGTCAGCAAGTGAATCCACCACTCACGTTGCAGGACCTTCAACATGCTCTTGATGAGCAGTGGCGACGTCTTCCTCGGGTAGTGTTTACGAATGTTCTGAGATCCATGAGAAGACGTTGTGTGGCAGTACCAGACGCTAGAGGAGGCCACAACCGTTACTAAACACTTTATTCCGATTGTTCTCCAAGTCTGTGAATTTCATTTTGGGGGGTACTGTGACATCACGAACGTTATCAATGCCAAGGACTTTCGGCGAGACGTATTCTTGCTTTCTGTTGATGTCAAGGTCGTCTGTGCACAACATAACACTAAAATAGTTGCCTTAAACCAAATATTAAAAATCTAGTCCCAAAAATCCCGAGTGTCAAGTTTTTAATTTGGCTGAGTATAGTAGGCCATAGCACTGGGCAAAATTGGTATATTGTACATGTATATTACGTCTGTCATCATTCGCCCATTCGATGCAGAAAAGTAAGACGTTAAATCCCATTTCATTAACAAACCGTAGCAAAGTACATGTAGGTAAGGATGCACCGAAAAATTTGTCAATGTTGTCTTATTCTTTCAGCTTACATGTTGCCAATAATTACGATGCTTGAAAAAATAAACCAAAGGATGGACGATATTGAGAAAACCCAACGGGAGCAAAACGGGAAATTAAACCAACTTTTGATTGTTGCTGGTGTCGCTGGACCAGAATTAGAACTCCCAGCATCACTTAAATTGCCTATCAGTACAATCGTAGAATGAAATGGTGTAATGATGTCGCTGAAAGACAAGAGCACAAAAGAGAGTTTGGTAAGTTTATTTTGTTCATAAAATTTTGACGAGTTACATTACCGGTAATTTCAATACACCTAGATGAAAGCAATACCCAAAATATAATAGAGAGTGATAAATAAATGCGATAGTAAAAGCAAAAGTGCTATTAGCCTGCATTTGAATATTTGTTCGTACTGTCACTGTCTTTACAGTCTCTAATTTACAAGCAATTGCTGCCAGTGCAAAATTTAAACATTTCTATAAAAAAATATCACTTTTGTTTTTACAGATCTTACATTTGAGTACCATTAGGGGTACAAATGCAAAAAAAGTGACGAAAAGAATTATGAAAGTTTTGTTTACCAATACAATCGCTACTAATTACAATTGGAAGGGAAACGGCTTTTTCTACACTGAATTTTAAAGACATTATTGAAAGTAAATAACTAGTTTTACTATCGTCACCCCTCTCTGCTTACAGACACCCTAGCGACTATAATTAATACCGGCTTGGCTTTAAATTTATTACGGTCCTGAGATGATAAATATAGTATGTAGGTGTTTCAGTAGAGTTTGTGTACTCTGATTCACAACGATGCATACAAAACACAGTGCAAAATGAGAGAGAGAAATGGGATTAAACGTCCACTCGACAGGCGACCCTAATCCTTGTCACGTACAACTAGGGATTCAAAATCTTGCCAGTTGACTCAATGACAGGCCTTATGATACAGCATGCACGTGCTAACCTTGCCCCCCCCCCCATTATTTGGAAGAGTGTTATTTATTTCATAAATCTTTTTCAGGGACTGTACGAAAAAATCCTATGACCAGGCATGCAACAGATTTAGAAATAAATGAATGCATAAAAAATTGGTTGTGTTATGCACCAGAAAGAATAAAAAAAAAAAGGTATTTTGTAAATATGTAATTTTTTTCTGCGTGTGTATTTTGTATTCAAGTTATAATGTTGGTAATTTTTATTTTTGGGAAATATGTACATGTACTAGCTCTGATTATCTCTCTTGCGCTTAGTAGCTGCACTTGAGAGCTCTGTCAATTTATCTAATATTTTGAAAGAAATACTGTTCCTATTGGTGTGATGATTAGCAAGGAAGTGTTTGATGGTCTTAAGAATTTTTGTTATGATCTTTCATATATTGTATAGGTGCAGCCTAGATATTCAAATCTTTGTATATACCGTTACTTTTTATATTATGGATTCATTTTTTATTTTATTTTCGTAGGTTAATTTTGGGTTTGGGTTGGGGGGGGGGGTATCCTTTATAGTGCTAATTGTTCCCCTTTTTTGCTTTTTGATATCGATGTATGTTTGAATGAAATTTCTCTGTAATGGTGTTGTTATTTTATGTTGTACATGTATATAGTAATGGTTTATTCATCACAGTGCTTGTATTCTTATTATTGAAGTTTTTTGTTATATGTTGTGTAATCCATTTTCATAAGGGGGGTCGAATGGTTAGCACGTGCGCGCTGTATCACAAAGCCTGTCATTGAGTCAACTGGCGTGGTTTCGAATTCCCGGGTTGTACGTGACAAGGGGAAGGGTCGCCTGTCCAACCTCGTGGGTTTTCTCCGGGTCCTCCGGTTTCCTCCCACTGCTAAAGACCCCTATGCGCAAGCGAATTATTGAAATAAAATTAAACCATATGTTAGTTCCCAAAATGACCTAGTTGGTGTCATTTATGGTTAGCACGTGCATGCTGTATCATAAAGCCTGTCATTGAGTCAACTGGCGTGGTTTCGAATCACCGGTTGTACGTGACAAGGAGTAAGGTTTTCTCCGGGTCCTTCGGTTTCCTCCCACTGCTAAAGACCCCTACGCGCAAGCGAATTATTGAAATAAAATTAAACCATATGTTAGTCCCAAAATGAACCCATTTCTCTCTCTCTCCCCATTTTCATAATGTAAAAGAAAATATTAGTGCTATATAGTCTTATGTATATGTATGAGTTCTGTTATACTTTAAAATATATTTTTATATCTATTTTCTAAATAAAATTTAGATACTTTATTGACAGTGTTTGTTGTAATTAAGTTTCAGAAGGGATTGGGGGTGTTTGATACCCAAATTTTTAGCATGTTTGGGTTATATCATAAGGGTGGTATGGTTTCAATTCCCTGGTTATACATGACAAGGAGTCCAATGTCGTGTGTTTTCTCCATGTCCTGTGAATTACTCCTATTGCTAAAGAC